CCCCATTCTTGCTTCGGTCGCTAGCCAGGACTCTCTTTGAACTGCCTTCCATCACACTATAATTCGACTCAGGTAATGTATTGTGCAGTCTATCTTGAAGTGACTTTGAGTACCAATTCCACCGTTTTTCTCTCTCTTGAAATATCTTCCTTGTATTGCTTCCGCGTCGCATGTAAAATAGGTCAATCACAAACAAACCACTTTTTGAAGGACGCTGGCGTCTGCTTCAGCCTAATTTATTTCTAAAACAAAATTATGATCAACTGAATGATAAACAATGAATGGGTAAAACTGGATTTGTGAGCTGGGTTCACCCTAGTATAAATGCTGGTGGCTCCGTTCTCGCAGCTCCTGATGGCGAGCATGTGTAATAAACGCTGTCGTGTGCATCTGCTCCGTTCGACACGCGATAGAATTACTTTTCCGACACGTATATGATGCAAATCAAGTGTAAACGCGACACCTGGCAGCTTTCCAAGGTCGAATGCGCTGACACGGGGCTGGCTGAAAAAAAAAACAGTCAGCAGTATTACCCGCTAGAAATATCAGCCAAATCCCTTGATTGTATAGAAAAAACAATTCGGATCGATAATCTTCGCTCTGAAGTTACTGGACAGTTCCATAAAAGTATTTACCAAGATGGTTGATAAAACCTGCAAACTGAATGACCCACTTGATCAATTTCCTTCCGGATGCTCCAACTTCACTTGCATCAAACATTTACAAATAAAATTGGCTTTTAGCTTTCTGAACTTCCCAAATGTTCTTACGATCAATGACGCATTCATTCCGGTTGTGAAATCATTCTTTTGAAATACAACACAATAAACCAAAGCCTAAATCAACCAGATGGAAGTTGATGAGAGAGATAACCCAAAACGTGCATGAAATCTGAGAGCGCTAAAGGTTCTTTTTTTCCGAGACGAAAAAATGCGAATAGTTTAAGTTCCAGAAAAACGAATCCAGTACCCGAATGTCGTTATTGCTTCCACCCTTGATTTGAAATCTAATTCGCCCCGATCACACTAAAAGTCCGCAGTGCTGCAAAGAAGAATGGGGAAGGGTAGTAACTAGGATAGTTCGTGTCATCACGTCGTTGTTTAGGCCCTGAGTTAAGTGACGTATTGCCCGCAAAGGCGTGTCAGCGCATTTCTCTGGGACTCAGTAAGACGTGCGAGTGTGGTGGAAAGAAAAACAGACCTGTTATGTCCAGCCCACAGAGTTAACGGGCTGGGTTCACAACACAGGTATGTGAGCAAGGATGAGTAAGGGGATGTTTTTCTGTCAGGGTGATCAAAGTGTTTACCAGTCCCGCAACACGGTGCACTGGTGTGGTCGGGACAAAAACAGGACAGGCCCTTAGCATGCGTAAAATGTTGTAGACATTAAACAAATGAATATAAACACCAAAATGCATGAAGGTGAAAGTGTCGTATGCAAAATATGATCGCTGGGTTATACGTTAGATGATCAGGCTTGTTAGGCATTTCATGGTCGATGTCTTACATTTCACTCCTCGAAGTTTCGTAACATACATTTCATAAAGACATTGGTCTTGTGTCTCTACGCGGCCATATCAGTGTAAAACATGGTATGAGATTCGACGAGCTAGATAAAAGAGAAGTCCGTGACGAACATTGGAAAACGTTACCAAAGTGTGCCAAAAATGTGGAATTTCTTGTAGGATATTTTTACGGTCAAGATATAGACTTATGGACGAATTGCTCCTAAAGCAAGCGGAATACGCATGAAAAAGGATACAGGAAGAGGAGAATTTCAGGGAGGTTTGTAGCACAATTGAGTGCCCCAGTAAAACCGCATGTGGAAACGACTCAGAGGAACTATTTGTCATTTTGATCTAGCGTTTTTCAATCCTCATCATGAATCGTCCCTCGTTATTTTTCCTGCCGATCCCATTCGATTATTTCAACTTTTTTTATTTCTGCACTGCCCCTTGAATATCATTACAAGTCTCCGTCGTTAATGATGCAATCTGACATTGTAGTAAGGCTAGCTAACCGAACTACAAATATTTCTCATGATACGGTGTCTGTGAGAAACAGAATTGACTGAAATCCATTTTAATTGCTGTGCAGTTTCACGGGACGCCCACAGACGCCTCTACTACGAAGATTCGATTGTGACAGAGGTTGTATGAGTGTTCTAAGTGCAACCAACCGATCACAACCAGTTTCACTGACTCTCTGGTTCGAATCAGTCAGCATGGTGTTATTCTAGACGATATACCAAGGTAACCACAGCAAGTAAGATACTGGTTGTGACCATAGAATGAAGATGACAGTAAGTGTCCATGTTGCTGAAATTCAGCATTCAAGAGACGCTTTTCATCACCGTCGCTGATTTGGCATCGCCACCGTGGTGAACAGTCAACACTACCAAATCGGAAGTCTGGAACTCCAGTCCGTCTTTGATTTAGAAAACTGCAGTAAGGACGGACCCGAAATCGACAACTACTTAGTCATGCGTGAGCAGCTGCGAATTACAGCATACATAAGGTTTATTTCACGGATGGATCTAGTTGTGTAAAGTAAATGAGTGTTACTGTATAGTATTACGGAGTTACAAGGAATTTCAATTGGGGATTACACGAGGTAGGGTGGAGGACAGGAGTTAGTATCGTCAACTCACTTTCAACACTGAGAGATAGGCGTCATTCAGTTTGGTATACTTGCCAACCAAAGCCACTTGAATAGTTTTGGATGCACCTTGCAAGCGCCGGGTGAGTGCTTTCCATTTCCCCAGTATCGGATACTCCACTTTCAACTTTGGACTCAGGTTGAAATGATTGAGCAAAAGATCACACAGCTTCTGTTTATCTAGAAGAATTGGTACTTCGTATAGATCGCGCGCATCGACCACAGTAATCACCTAGGAAAATAAAACATGACATAAACTATAAGGAACCAATCAGAGGAACCAAAGGAGGCACAAGGTTGGGAGTGATTCATACTAACATATGCGAATGAATTTTCCCAACAAGAAATAATAAGACCCCCCCCCCAAGACCCGGACATACTGCCGGACACTTTCAATAGGACTTCGATTTTCCAGTGAATCTGGATACAAAAATGAACTTTAATTTTCTCCTACCCGATGGATTACGTGACCTGCGACAACAACAAAGACTCAGCCCTAATTAACAATTTCGTTAGCCGATGTATGCGCACCGTAACTGAGACAATAATAAGCCCTCCGTAGTAGTTCGGATACAGAAACCCACCGGTGTACAGTATAAGCCATGGTAGCAGCAGTTATGTTCGGCCTAGGCATGCGACCGACAAGAGAGCCGCTTGTTTAAGCCCCAACAACAAAGTGGAGGAGAGAACAAGACTGAAGGCGACAATCAGAGAATATTCCATGATGAACGACCGATACGCAGATTTGAAGGGTAAATTGGGCTTATGAGAACGACATAGGGACGCATCAACCAGATGGCGTTCTTAACACTCCGACTGGTCTATCGGACAACCGCTGTCCGATTCGTTCTAGTCATCCGTTCCGGACTCCACTTGCCTTGCGCTTCGCGAGCGTGCTTGTTGCACGAGGCGGATCCGCGCGCGGCCTGACGGGCTCTGTGAGCCCCGGCCTAACGGCAGTAATGAGATATACATTGACCCCCATTCACCGAATGCAGACCACGTCTGCACAAATGAGATAATCGCTGTGATGGAAAAGTTAGCTAGTCTTCGGTAACATGGGTCTTCAACTCACAAGACTTACCAACAGTAAAACAGAACTGGTAGTTGCAGATTTCAATGACACGAAGGAAATAATACGAAGGTATCTATCGCTTTGCATCCATCGATTGCATCATCTGTTAATTATTTATTCGATTATGAGTACACAGCTCGGTCCAACACAACTGTAGTCGAGGCACAGTGTGTTGTCACAAGTTACTTTGCCCACAAAAGGAATGGAAATATCCTGACAGTATTTAGCTTTAGAGATCGACAAGCTTGATCCAATTCAAAGTAATTGTAATCCTAATGCATTTAGTCATTAATTCTCGTTAACGTTCGGGCAGTTAACGTGAAATCCTGGCTGAAGTCAACACAGAACGTACGATGAGAGATGTGACAGAAGCGGACAAATGACGAAAATACTACCACTACCCAAAGGGGATCTCATGTCCATAGCAGGTGGTCAGCTCCTTGGAGTAAACCGTTTGACTTCACAAGTCAGACAAAATCCTGGTTAGATCGTACGTAAAAGGATGTTGTGAAGTGGTACAATGGTACACACTGTTTTTATAAACCACATTATCACATACAAATTACCATCTATTGTAATAGGTGATGCGGAAAGGTACTGATAGATAAATATACCCGACAAAATTGTTCCCCCTGAAGATGACTGTATGATTCCGGTGGGACAAACGGGTCGATGAGGCCGAAAAGTCAAGACCAGACGAAAACCAAAGCCTACATCTCTGTTGGCCGGAGTGTGAGTTACATCATCAAATCGCCCGGAGACCGTATAAGGAAAATCGACATCCAAGGTCAAAGGTGTGAAATGTCTAATCTCATTTCAAGACGATTGAGTGTTGTCACTTTTCACAGAAACAATCGCTTGTATCAGGAAGGGAAAAAAGATCGAAAGACAATTAGCAAGATGCATCATTGCAGACTATACCTGATTGCGAATTGACGTACGTGATCTGTTGGGACTTGACTGAACAAACTGATCTTGTCTATGACATTCTTCGGGAGTGGTGAAGTGCACCGACACATCAGCAGATCCGGATGCAGACCGCAGGCTCGAAGTTCACGGACTGATGCCTATAACGGATTGGAGTAATAATAATTAATAATAAGATTCACAAAAACCGTTATCGATTGGAAGTATCTAACGAACGCCAGATGCGTTTCCATCAAGTTATTTTAACAAAACGCATGATGATGTTTAGTGAATTTCATTCGACTAACCTGATCGAAACATTAAAAAAAAACAATAATTACATGTTTGTCATATTATTTAAATTCATGCACAAAAAGCTGTAGTTATTAGCTTTGAATTCAATCAAGTAGAAGGATGTCGGGGGAGGGGGATAGAAGGACTATAAATCACCAATACTTTTTATCCTCACGACAAACAGACCGTGCACTCACCCAACTTACCTGAAGGTGCAGTTTACAGACGTTTTGTGATCAGGGGACAACTGCGAACGGCACTTCCAGTTCGGAGAACACACCAACATTAGCATCTGCATTCCAGGCAACAATTGTTCCACATTATATCTAAAGTCTACTGTATCCGATATGTTATCTAGTCCGGTTGTGACGAGAACCGGGACTAGCTAGTGAAAATGGGATGACCGTGGGAGACAACGATCTCACAAATAACTTGCGCACACTAAGGGGGTTGTGAATGCGAATACACACTGCTTCCGCTGTGACTATCGTGCGATGCGCAATCTACTGTGATTGTTGTTCACAAATCTGGAAGAGTGGGCGGTTTCATTCTGCGTTTACTCTCATTTGTTCCTATGGAACAATGTACATCGGTCTCCGAGCAGACAGTTGATCCAGGGATTTTGTGAGCATCATCCGATCTGGTCGCTCACTGGGGTGACTAAGTAAATTACGAGCGCGACCTGTTCACACCTTATCAAGTCAAGTCACTTAATGGACTTGACCAGGGCGTTTTGCCTCCTCTGTCAGGTTTGTGAACAATAATCTGAGCGGATTGAAGGCCGCAATTCGGTCACAGCGGAAGCAGTAGGAATTCGCATTAAAAACCCACTCATGCGCACAGAAACAATTTGTGAAGTCGTTATCTCCCTTGACCGAGTGACGCTGGAGCCGTCTCTCGAACCAATCTCCCAAGGAACTCCATCATCTTGATCATGATCATGTCTGGAGCCGGCTTATCCTTTCCAAGGAGCCAGCAGCAGTAAAGTAAGTATCTCTCTGGGCCTTCCATCTGCCATTTTCACTCGCTCATCCCTGGGCAGCATACCGAAAACAGTAGCCATTATCTGTATTTTGCAAGTCCATTTTTTTTATCGTCCTCCTATTGTTATCTGAGTTATAAAAATTGTTATGTGCTAGCCAATGACGAGGAATCACTGAAAATAAGTGTTGGTCGCTACTGTGTTGTAATCCAAATCTTTCCGAAATGAAAACGCACTGGAAATTATATTTTAAAAATCAATGGATAAAACGTTTGATTGGTATTCTATGCACCTTTATGAAAGGTAGCTTAATTAGAGAAATGTAAAACATGATCGTTACTCTCCAACCGGGAATTCAACAGAGATGGTAGACAATTGTTTTGACTTTGATAACTACACTGCTGGCGGGCGAGTTCCGGCTGAAGTGTGGGTATGCAAACAACAGTCGTTTGACATTTAACAGCTTGGTGCGTCTATGGCAGTCTCAATTCCAGTTTATACCGAGATTGAGCACTTGCCCAAGTGGACCACCACCATTACCTAAAACTCGGCACCTAACTTCGGCATTGCTTGTCCGGTTGCCCCACAAGACTTGCGCAATATGGCGTAGACAGCGGTGTTCGAACACCAATAATCCATCCTTATCCTGTTCGCGTAGTGGTCAAGTATTAACACGAAACAGAATCATCGACCGAACTGCTTCAACATACATTCGACCCTTCAAAAACGACCAAATGTCACCCGTGCGTGGGCAGAATCCGGCTCGTAACAAATGATGGTCCATTTCCACGGTTGTTGACCGGTGGGAGTGACCGTCTTCGATAAATCATAGAAAGCGATAGCTGATGTTACTGCGACAGATTTGAGTTCATCAATGAGAAGCGCTGGGAATTTTCATGCAGTGCGGTGTCGCTTCTGACAGTCGAAGTTTCTACTTTATAGGAAAAACACATGGCCTGAGCGAAGTTTGAAGAGGTGATCTTCGTTCGTTGCTTGACTGGTTGATATCGCACATGGGACGATCAGGCGATTTACTAATTCTTCCCGGGACCCCATTTAGGCACTGAGGTTACCAGCAACTACCGCAATTTCCGCTGAGCAAACACTCTGGAGTAGTCAAGAACGGTCATTGTAGAGAATCTTGTTTTAGATGCACCACGATCGGTTGATGCAAACACGGACACGATGAAAAAGCACTGGTACTCTGTTCGGTTTCTGCTGGCCTGCACTAAACCACTGAGATATACCCAGCCGAATACCTATTGGAATCCGATCAAGAGGTAAGCGCTCAAACTTGGGAGCTAGCACCGGCAACACCTGAAGTTTCAGAAGCTGAATTACCTGGCTTACGGTGACCGAAGCATGGGGATGATGTTGGATGTTGCGGTTTCCTTTGGTAGCTCTTAGCGGAGCCTTATATTTATAAGTCTAAACCACAAGGTAGTCGGGTGTAAAACCGGCGCGGGTGGGGGTGACCGAATTACCCATGTGGGAACCTCTGATAAACTGACAAATGAAGCC